TATAAATAAATAGAAAATAGAATAAATAGTTTATCAAATCCAAATTTACATCAAAAGATGATTTTAATCCCAAGAAATTTATACAAAWAAAATATTAGTAACAAAATAATTATCTTATTACTTAAAATTTATAAATTTGTGCATGATATATCTTACAATTTTTGTATTTATTAGTTAATATTTTAATTTATATTCAATAGAATTATATATATATAATAGCTGGGTTTATATTTTGGTATCAAAAAGGTACCTGTGTCAAATAGAACTAGGTATCGAGTATKGGTACCCTAAGTCAAAGCCCAAATCCTATAGGATTTTAATCTACAATCTCAAACCCGTCCTAAACCCTATAGGGTTTTGATAAACGAATCCTATTAGGGCCATAATGGGTCATATACCAAAAATTCCCATGAAATTGCTATCCCTAAAACTATGTTTGGTTTAAAAAAAAATACAGAGAAAGGAAGGAAAAAGTAGGAAAACCTTTTCAAATCTTGTATACTTGTCTTTCCCTTCCTTTTCCTATGTTTTCCTTCAAACCAAACACCTAAAACTCTGTTTGATTTGAAGGAAAAAATAGAAATTCTAGAGAAAGGTAAGGAAATCCTTACGGACCTTGTATATCCTTCCTTTCCCAACCTTTTCCTTCAAATCAAACATAGCCTAAATAAACGTAAAAACAAAAAGAGTCTACGCGAGGCCTTCTTAAACMAAAGGCATCCGCACACCGCACGTTCGTACTCCTTCCCACGTTTCGTGAAGGGTTTGTTCGTCTTTTCACCCTTCTGATAGGCATACCGCGTTTCGTGTTTCTCTCCTCTCAAACCATATTCCCTGACCAGACACCTCTCCGGACTCCGGCTATCCCTCCGTCATCGCCGAACGGCCCGAACCCGGAAGCCAACGCCGTCGTCGCCGTCCCTTCCTTTTTGACCCTTCTGATTTTTATATGGGCGTTTTGCCTTTTTCCTCTCCCTYCGTCTCTTTCTCGTCTGAAGCAAACCCTGCTCTCTCGCTCGTCCCTTCCTCTCGCTCCGTCAGCCCATCTCTCCTTCTCTTTCTAAACCCTAGCATAGCGTCGTTCCTTCTCTTTCTAAACCTTCTTGCTATCTTGGCCGGAGCGTGCTGCCTTCCTAGTGTTGCCGCGAGAGGGGTGTTTGATTGGTCCAAGTCTAACAATTTTTTCTTTTTTGTATTCCCATTTTGTGATTCAGGTCTCACAGTTTTATTTCTCTATTTTTGCAGAGTCTCCACAGTTGAAGGAGGTTTTCCTTCGTGCTCTCTCTCTGCCCCCCCTCTTGTCTTTGTCTTAGGCGGCAGCGGACGGCATTTCCAGCACCATGTTTTCTATTGAGTTATGGATATTCGAAAGGTTCATTAAATCTGAACTTCTCATTTGAGTTATGGACATTGGAAAGTTATTTCAATTGGTATTTCATATTTGAATTTTTACTTTATTACTTTTGCTGATTAACTCTAGGTTTTCCTCTTGGAAATTTTGATATGAGAAGATAAATGCAATGCCTCAACTCTATTCCTTAATTTTAAATGAAAAAGACAAATGCATGTTTTCCTTCTATTTTTTTCTTCTTTTAATTGATTTTTATTTTCTGATATTGTTTGTTGTCTATTAGATTTACTCATACTTCTTAAAATTATATATATATATATATAAGATTTTTCTTCTGTTCATTTGAAAAACACAAACGTAAAGGTGAATTCTCTGAGTTCAAGTGAGGTTTGTTTTCGCTTGTCACTTGGAGGAACCGTAAAAGACTAC